CTGTAAGTGAAAAGAATGAAACCTGTCAAAGATTTGTGCCAATCTCCTAGATGCATCGATTTTAATAGCTGCATCTGCTTGTCATTACAACTGCTGACTACAGTTGTTGTCACCCACACTACTCCTACAGCTCCACCTACAGCAGCTGCTCCACTGCACCTGGTTTTCCAGCACGGCTGTTACCGCTTCTTTCCTTTCCCATCTATTCCTGAATGCTGCCTACTCTCCCTAGTGGCCCTGATCAGAGGGAAGGTGAGGGAAATGCTTCCACAACGCAGTTGTGCCAGAGTGTTTAATACACAAACCATGGAAATGGATTTGGGTTACATCTCGTGTCTGTGTGGCCTGAGGGCACGGTGTGTATGACGGTTAAAGCACCGACTGTGTACAATTAGTAATCATTAGCCTGAAAGAAGAATTTGTACTGTAAAATTACATTTACGTAGAGGGAGTTCCAAGACAGAAATACATCCACTGGTATCTCCTCAAAGTCAATTGGCTATAAGAGCTGGTTAAATTCTCACAAATTCCACCATCTTTCTGAACTGGGATATTCTGAATTAGACCTGAAAGATGTATAATGAAAAAGTAATGCTCTGTAGAGTTTACGTCTTTGCCTGCCTTCCCAGTCTGCATTGCTTCTTCAATAAAAATAACAACATGCCCTAAACGTTTTCTCCCCTTTCCTCTCAAATCAGGCCATCTGAGGCAGGCGATCCTTTTCACAGGGTGTCTGGTAAAGAGCCCCTGAGACAGCACATCTCGGTGGAGGAAAAAATGGTTGCCTGTGGCCAAGATTCTCTTTGAACCAGGATGTTACTCCCCATTCTTACGACTGCGCTGATGCGTATGTAGTTGTGTGCACTGTGAATGACAAGGGTGTTCCTGACACGGGTTGCCATCACTGACTTGAAGCATTTCTAAAAACATGGCAAGTCTCTAGGGCACTCATCTCGTCTTTAATACTCCTACTGTGTTGAAACACAAAGCATGTCTTTGATAATGTTAATTTTCATTCAGAAAGAGTGAACAGCTCTCAGAAGCTGCTGATCTCGCCTCGTGTATCATAAATCTGGAAAAATATTTCAACTCAAACAGCAAAGAATAGAAGCGTAAGTCATGTTTGACAAAATTATTTCTTGTCTTAATGGGAAGTGGTACAGATGGTGCCGTTTCCATCTCTTGAAACAGTAACTTCAAGCCTTGTATATGCCCACTGTATTTGATGGAGAAAAGAGGCTCAGAATCAAACTCTTCTGAACTGAGGTGTGCTTCTTAACGTCATCAAAAACCATCAGAGCAGCTTCAATCCTCCTTGCTTTTGAGAACCAGCACGGTTTTTGAGTACGGATAGTCCTACAGGCTAGCCGCGGCCAGGAAGTGATCAAAATATGATCAAAATACTGTTCCAAGGATGGGAACAAGTGCAGCCAGCTTAGAAACCAAAAGCACTGAAACTTATGGGGTTTCCCACCAAAATACTCCTTGCTTACACTGCCCATCTGTGATGCCTGTTTCTTTCCACTTTGTACACTTAAACTCGGAAAGTACAATTTTGGTAGGCATGTCTAAAAGAACTAATTCTGTCACTTTTACATTGACTCGTACCTCTGGCACTGGGACAGGAGGCAGTGTTAGTCTTAATGTGAGGAAGGGAAAAGATAAAGAATTGCTGGCCCAGCAGCTCTTTCTGTAGGGCACAGGTACCTTTTCCCCCACTTCAAAGGAAAGGTGAAAGTAAACAAATATGTTGCCCTGCAACCCTATAATACCAGCTGTCCTGTACCTGGCAAGTGCATCGTATCTTGGAACAACAGGTTGCCGTGTTCTGTAGGAAAACAGCAGATTGCCGGTATAAAACATGGAGTTCAGAGGCAACTGCAAGTCTGATGACTGGGTTTCTCTTCTGAACACCCGTGTGTGAGCTGCGCAGAGACCGCGGTTGTTAGGCAGGTGACTGCTTGAGCAGCAGTGCTGTGGGAGGTGGGAAGGAGCTCACGCTGGCTTTTCGCAGTCCTTTAGGCTGACCTAGGTGATAGTTACCATGAAAAGAGGTCATCACACCGCGTGCCTGCCAACGCACACCTACCTTGAGCTGCGTACTCCTCCTGTTTCTTGTCTGCATCAGCAAGCTGCATGAGGGAGCTGGTTTTGCCAAAAACATATTCACTCCAGCATCTCCCTGCTTTGCTGTTGCCCACGTGGTCCTGTCCTTCTCCCCTGGTGCTCATCTAGCACTTGGCTCAACCAGTTTAACTCACTGGTCAACAAAAGGTACCTTCTGGTATTTTGCCTTCATGACTTTTGCAGGGTTTAGAAAGACGGGTCAGCTCATGGAAGGGCACTGGCAGAGAGCACTGGACCCGGCACGGGTTAGAGTACTGGGAGCTCCAGCTCCCACCACACAACCGTGACCCGCTCTCTTCTCTGCCGGTTCTAGAAGTCTAGCTGCGCATCCCCCCACTCCCACTGCAGCACGGATATTTTTAGACCCTTATAGAAGGCATAAGCCTTCCCAAGCTTGGTTCCTCCAGCAGGATGTTTCAGCAAGCGTATTTGTTCGTCATGAGAGTTCGTCTGCATTGAGTTCTACGGGCAAAGTTGTTGCTACAGACAGTATGAGAACACCGAGGCCCCTCTCTGGCCTACCTTGTCCAAGGGTTCAGCTAAGGTGAAATTCACATCAAGATGCCTTAATTAACAAATATATTTGGTGTCTGAGTGCGAGCTAGATGTCCATGCTCCTGTTCTAGTCTGAAGAGCAGAGAGCCCTAATCAGCTTACCCACAGCAGACACCTTTATCTGGTCAGCTAAGGAGCTCTTTAGACGACTCACTTAGAGTAAGAGTAACTTAGACCTACCTGACACGAAGATGTCTGCATTCCTGGAGCTGTTTTCTTCCACTGGGGATCAGTTCAAAACATGGGCATCTACCATCATTCAGGTGTTTAGATAAGACACAATCTACGCAAGCCTGATGCTGTTCTGGACCAGCACCTGGAAGCCCGATTATGTACCTTAAAAGGCACTGGGAGCCTGTGTAGAGGAAATGAATCACACCCTGATTCCCACGGGAGGAAAGGGCTGTGTAGGTGCATTCCGTCAACAGCTCCCTCCCTCCCTCTAGAGAGAGGAGAGGCAGCACTACGTTACGAAGTGCACAGTAGGAGATGTTCAGGATGTGGCATCGTCCGTGAGACACTGACTACCTGACATTTCAGAGTTCACACACTGCTAGGTTTTAACTACCACCACAGGTAACTACTGGGATTTGTCAGAATGTCTGATCTGTGGATTCAACCGTAGGTGCAAACCTCGAACTGGGGCAGCTTATTTATTTGTGACCACAGGCCGTCCTGGCCAAAGGTAAACTGGTCTGCTAAATTAGTAACACATGTCCTGGCCAGCTCTGGGTACAGCATGTCCTATCTCCATCTATAAATTTAGGTCTGTGCTTCTATTTTTAACTATATACATATCAGTCAGTGAAAACAGTGATCTCACTAGGCATTGCTGCTGTTCTAAGGCAAGACGCTTCGACTTTATTCCATGATTTCTCCTAATAAAAATCTCTATTTTCCACAAAAAGCTAATTATCTGCAATAAAACACATTGTGTCAGGACAGATCAAAGAGAATACATTTATTAAACTTTGAGAAAAACAAACAAAACACTGACGTAAGGGAAGTTAAATAGAAACCGAAAGACGCATCTTCTGACCGGTGTAGAATGGCTTGTGTGACCAGCAAAGTACCAAAATGACATTCTGAGTTTGATTGAGGTATTTAACTATTTTTGGCAATAGAAACAGAGTAAGAAACTTCTTCCAAACACACACAGAGGCATTACTTGCTTTAGTGTCTATCATCTATGAAACTTTATATGAAACTAAATAATATAGCTGTTAGAAAAATATAGCAGCAAATTAGCAGAATATCTAATGCACATTTACCATAAAGGACGTGCTAAACTTAAAAAAATCCCACCTCATAGTTGGGCCCAGTGCTGTAGCCCTTGGTCACAAAGAGAGCATCAGTGAGTTCAGTGGGAGGCATGAGCGAGACCTGCATTCACTGCACTTCACACACGTCTGTTCAGGTCAGGGAAAAGAAATGAATGTCTGTATTTGCTTTCTGAGAAGAACTCTGCCGTGAGGAAGCCACGGCCTAGGCAGGTAACTTCTGAAGCAGTAACAGTTCATGACAAAGCTCCGTCAAGCTCTTAGTACACGTAAGAACAAAGAGAGCTCTCCCACTGAGTTTCAGTTGTCTCTCCTTTCCTTCTGAAAGTCTGCCTAACGCGGTCAGAAGAGATGCTGTTAGGCTGCAAAAACAAAACAAAAAAAACACTTTTGAACAATCCCCTTGATCCACTGAAGTCTTTTAATCCTGTTATAGCTTTAAAAAATGAACTGCTGGCTAAGTGCCGAAGTCTTGATTTTATTTTTTGAATCAAGATTTTATGTGGAGCAAACTAACAAATGTAGTGATACCTTTGGCTGTAGGAGGTCTTCAGAAGTTGGTCGGATGTGAAGAGATTATGCCGCTAAGTCACCAGAGCTTACTCATGTGTTCTCAAAAGTTTTCACTGAACGTACAGTTGCACACTGTTTAATACTCTGGTCAACAATATTTTGCTTGTAAAAAACCCCATTATTAGCATTAGCCAGTTATCTGATGAAGAACAGAATAATTTGCCCTAAAATATTTTGTATATTTTCAAGTTTTCTACAAAACTTTAAGTTGAATGTATATTTCTATATTCATTACCAGAAGAAAGAATCAGTTACTTCAAGTTTCTACAATATTTCAAAATTTCTCCATGGGTTTCTTTGGAGGTATAAAATGGCTCTGTAAAAATCTATTTTTTGTTTTGCTGCGAACAAAACTTTTATGAAACAGAAAACTCCTTTTTAAGACTGCAGCAATCACATTCCTTAAATGGGTCGTCATAACTGAACTACAGCGTGTAGTGTAATAGAAAACGTTTATGTTTTTATGACCAAAATATTAAAATATATTTTCTTAATTTATATAAACCAAAATAGATGTGTTATTTATTCAAGCTAGTTTTGCATTTCACCTGTATGTTCAGTTCTCAACTACTGATATAAAGATCTCTGCCAACAGCACAATTTTTACTAAATTCTTAGACTTTAAACCACCTGATTTTTAGCTTTATCAAAATGCATGATTTACTGTACATTAAACATAGTCATTTCAACGTTGAGTATCACAAAAATCAACACCCACAAGAACAAGACAGTCACTGCTAGTAAAACAGTCTCGAGACAAATTCATAGATAATATTTACAGAACACAATAGGAATATTTTGATGAATATTTTATGTCGCAACATTTCAGATAAAATTATAAGAACCATGAGAAACTTTTAGACTTCATTTTGGTTTCAGCATACAAGCCGGAGGTGACTCTCTGCTGTGAAATACTGCGCACTCCTAGTCCAAGAAGAGCTACGGCATGATTTTGTTCAGCTGGTCGGCGCTCACATAGCCACACGACACGTTGAATTCCTTGTCTGGCACAGGCAGCGCAGTCGCGTTGAGCACGAGGCCCTGTGGAGAGTGAACGATATGAATAGATGTATAGTCCGGGACAGGCACCTCCGAACCTGGGGTTTCTGCTGTTGAAGCTCCGAGAGTGACACCGGTAGTGGTAAGGCTCTCTGTGGTGAAGTAAGCGTCCTCGTTACAGCTCTGCTCCGGAACACGCGGCTCATCCTCTTCGTGGGAAGTCACAGCAATGCATTTTTTCACATCTGCCTCACAGAAGTAGGCGTTGTCCATGGTGAAGTTTTGTTCTGTGCAGCCTTCACACTCTGCTCTCCCCACCTTGGATTTCTGCCCCGGTGAAAGCACAACGCTGCCCGCTGGAGTAATGTCGCTCACTTGCGCGTAAAAGTCAGTGTTTGCCAGTGAATTCTGGTTACTCAGCTGGGTCTGGACCGATGGGCTAGCTGAGTCAACGCCGTCTGCCAAAGGTGGCCACGGCTGGCTGTTTTCGGACTGAGTACTCACGGGCGGCTGTTGGGCGTCTGTGTCGGCAAGGCTTGGAAGGGACTCATCAGTATCTTTTCTATCCAGGCACAAGAGATCCTCTTCTTTTTCAGCTACCTTTTTGAACTGATCAATATCAGAGATGGCATCACATGTGTCGCTTGCACTGAAGTCTGTCTCTGGAATATCTGGTTCACAACAACTGGCCCGTCCGGAATCATCGTCCTTCGCTCCCAAGCAACTGTGTGATTTCAGGTGATCCTCACTCAGGAGCCTGTTGGTATCCGAGACTCTGTTCTTTTCATCAGGGTCTTCTATGTCCAACTCAATAAACTCAACCCACAAGTCGTCATTGTACAGCTGGGTCTTGTAGTTGTCATGGCTGGCTAAGATGGAGTTCACTTCATCCAGCTTTCCTTTCTATAAAGCAAGAAAAAAATGAACCTTATAAAGGAAACAATAGAAATGCTTGTGCTTTTTATGCTGTTCACTTCAGCAGAGGTAACCAGAGATGATGTAATAATTGTGATTTTTTTTTACTGTTTTATGAAAACAAACCCTGTGGCAACTCCCCCCACGTCATAACTTTTTCCTACAGAATGTTTCTGCCTGGGGCAACAACTGTCACCTGCCCCTACTACCATGATTCCCACTGTAGATTTTAGAGCACAATATTACCTTCAAGAGATCTGGGTCAATCCCTTTAATCTTTGGAACTGGCACAGGAGGAAAAATCAGCATTTTTAACCTGGAAAAAAATAAATTATGGCTTTTAAGTAACCGTGGTCCTTTTTGACAAAGTTATAAAGGAGAGAGCCTTACATTGCATTTCCACTTATTTACTTAAATGCTGACACGTTTGAAGATTCAATTTTAAAAGAAAGATTGTTTTCTCTCATTGCAAATAAAACCTCAAGTTTTCTGCAGCCTTCCTTCTTGCAAACACCCATATTTATGTGGGAATCCCTTTTGGAGTAGTCTTTGACAATTTAATGCTGTACAGATTAATTTTTCAGGGACACAGCAGTCTTGCAAAAACTCAAGAAATTTAAATAGAGGAATAGAAAAAGAGAGTTGGTGAAGAGAGAAATTTACTTCAGAACTAATAAATAAAACAGAAACAAACCTGAAAAGAATAGGCTAGTATTTTACCACCTCTGTGGGGCTTCTGTTTTCTGAATTATTAACATATGAGTAATATATAACAATAACAGGGTTTTACGCTTGTAGACAAAGGATTAGTAACTAATGTAGGTACATACTGTGGAAATACATACTCGTCTAATCCTTTATAAAAAAAGTAAATTTCTAAATCTTTGAGGGGATCAAAAAAAAAAACCCAAACCCATAACACAAACAGAATTATTCCCATTAATAATACTCCAACAGCAGCAGGTCATGGCCATCTCCTCCTTTTTACCTCGCTGCTTCTTGTAGTTCCCAAAAGGAAAATCCAGAATTCCCTTTATACTGGGGAACTTGGTTATTTTAGAAAGTAAGCTGTGGGCATGGTAGACCCAAATCCACATATTTGTTTTGCTGCATTGCTAGTGACCTTGGTGAGGGCCTGAGAGGATCAGATGAGTCTTAAGGAGTGCCAGAGGCACCTTCTGCTCAACTATGGCAGGCCCAAATTCCCCACCTGTTTTTGGGTTTGGCAAGCTCTCCAAGTTCTGCCCAGCAAGCCTCAGGGAGAGCCAGAAATCCAGTAATTTTACATGTCAACGGGGGATTGGGGTTAGTTGTCCACTGTCTGGGCTCTCAGGCTACCAGTGTAAGACTTGCACTTACAGCTGAATCCACATATCGGCTATGCTGATGGGATTGGGCACTGCTTCCAAGGGAAGAGACAAAGGATTTTACCACTCGCCAGCTGGAGAAATCATCCAGGAGGGACAGCCACGCTCTGCTGCTGTCTTAGCCCTGCATGATTCAAGCCTGCATCTCTCATCCCTAAAAGAGTGCGGCCTAACCCTATGGCATCTGTCCTAGGGAGTCTGGCTCAGATCTTGTCATATCCAAATTGAGGAAAATAGGAACTGGTATCTTCAGATACAGGAGGAAACGGAGCCTGGATATGCAACCTTATGGGAAATCTATGCAGCCCACTCCTCTGCAGGACACACTGCCACTCCCATCGCCACCTGCTTTGAAGGAAAGGGTGCAGGCCCACGGGCCCAGGAAACTTTCCAGAACCTTAGTGGAGAAAAGCCTCCTCCAGCAGTCATGGAAGGTGTTAATAAGCTCTGATCAGAGACATGCTTCAGCCCTCAGGATCTCGTGTGACTAAGCCACTCCTTGCGCAGCGTAGTGACCTTAGTGAGCTCCTGGTCCTACATATGAGTTGTTCTTGCCCCATTCTGACACATCAAGCTTTTTCATGCACTGTATCAGGAGCCTTCCTCTTAACTCTGGGACTGGAATGCTACTGCAGGGAGTGGCTTCCTGAAATTAAGTACTGCTAAAGTACAGTACTGCTTGCCTAAATTATGTTTTTAGAGATGCTCCACCTGCACCATATTATTATCATTTCAGTGGTTTGTCCTTAGGCTGGTACGTGCAACACACCTCAGTGTTCATTTCTCAATGTGTATACACAAGACTACTGAAAACATGCATGTGTGCACTGGGGCTTGGCCACGGTGTTGCTCCATAGTCTAGGGCAGTGCTGGTATGAATCATAGAATCACAGAATGGTTTGGGTTGGAAAGGCCCTTAAAGATCATCTAGTTCCACCCCCCCTGCCATGGGCAGGGACCCCTTCCACTAGACCAGGTTGCTCAAAGCCTCATCCAGCCTGGCCTTGAACACTTCCAGGGATGGGGCATCCACAGCTTCTCTGGGCAACCTGTGCCAGTGCCTCATCACCCTCTCCGGGAAGAACTTCTTCCTGATATCCAATCTAAACCTCCCCACTTTCAATGTAAACCCATTACCCCTTGTCCTGTCACTACAGGCCCTTGTAAAAAGTCCCCCCCAGCTTCCTTGTCAGCCCCTTCAGGTACTGGAAGGTGCTATAAGGTCACCCCAGAGCCTTCTCTTTTCCAGACATCCCAGCGGAATTATTCTGCCAAAATCTCTCCCTGAACGCAGTATTAGGGAATAAATTCACTTTGAGACCATTTTGTAATTTTTATACATATATCATTTTTTCATTTTATAAATAACACAATCCTGTGCTTTATTTTATTCCTGTTATTTATAGGAGCTGCAGTCTATACACAGAGACCAAATCCTCCCTGATGACTCAAGCTCATTCCCTTGGTTTGATGAAGAAATACTCAGGTTAGCGGAACTGACCAAGAACAAACCCAAATATACAGACATATGTTTGTGTGAAACGTTCGAAGAGTATGTGGGTAAAAACACTATTTACAAGATTTGAATGGACTAGAAAAATGATCCTCTGAAAAGCCTAAGCAAATAACTATGTAAATACTGTAGAATACAATGTTCTGCAATCCAAAAGGGAGAGGAGCTGCCAGCATAATCAGATTCCCACTGCTGAAGGCCCAGTAGGTGTATATGCCATAGAACATGTAGCTTATGAGAATGGCAACAGTCCTCAAAATAATTTCTAGTCCCTCAGCTCTGAAACAATTGAAGCACTCTATTTTTCAAGCTACATAAAATGTGACAAATAAAACCCCTCTACCTTGGTTGTTTGGACAGCAGGATTAAGATCACAGTTATGGCCAGCCCACATGCTCCGAAGACAACAACTAAGAACCACGGAAACTCAATTTCTGAAACAACAGAACGAAAACATGTTAGCAGGAATCTTCACCTCTGTTGCGTCTTTAATTTCAACTTTCTCTTCCACCACTTGAGGATTCCAAAGTGGTAAAAACTGATAGGAGAATCTTCGGTTACTTCAATGTGAAGGTTCTGTATTAAGCAGAAATAAAAATACCCTTTTGGTCTCAGTAGTTTCCATACTGCACTTGTGAGTCCACTGAGACTACCTGCAGAAACAGACTGAGTTTCTGAATATAAAAAACCCCTTAGAACAGACAGTAGATGTAAAAACCCAGCTGTGAGGAACATTCTGCCTGCCCGGTACGTGCTCAGAGTAGTGCTGGTGGCATATAATGGCGCAGACCATGCCACTGCTTGTTCACCCAAGCTGACAGAACGTTATTAATAGCCTACTAAATCGTAGGCAGATGACTCTTCTCTCACAGACACTGAAATACGGTGGTGTCAAAAAGCACACTACCCCTCTTTCGCAAGGCTGAACGTTAATTATGTTTTGAATCATCAACTGAAAAAAATTCTCCCTTTTGTTTACCTTGCAGGTGGCTACAAAGAATTTCGGTCGTTGAGAAATGCAATTCGATAGGAATGAAGAACAGTGCTGATAAGTGGAATGTTTTGTCTTTTAAATACTGGCAATCCCATTACACTTAAGCTGACACTGGAGAATACAAAGTATAGAGAAATATATTCTGGCTGTAGTCTTAGATTCTTCTAATTTCTCCCAGTTTGAAGTTTTCCGCACAAAGTTTACTCCTTTTTTGGGCCAAGGAATACTGGGCAGAAAGCTTCAGAAGTCTATACATGAAGATCACTATGTGTCCTTTTGGGGCAAAATAAAAAACCAAATTCAGGTACCAGTTTTAGCCCCGTGCTCCCAGCTTAGATTTTGACTGGACATGTGTCCAGGTATGAGTGAAGTTCTATCTGGGTTTGTCTGTGTTAGACAGGCCCCTGTTTCAACAGAGAACCCGTAACTCCTTGTCATGTCAGTGAGACTGGTGAACGTCCAGCTGCTTCAGAAAGTCAGAATACTGCGTTTGAATTTAACTACTTTACGTTTTTAATACATGGAAAAGTTATATTTTAGTTCTGTGCTCCTGAAGGTGATACACAAAACAAGCAAGAAGAAATTCTCAGTCAAATCAGATCACGGCAGCCGTGGGAGATGTACGGATGTGGATCAACCTGCAGAATATGGGTTGTAGTGACTGAAGAAAATGGCTTGTAGGGTGGCCTCAGATTTTCATAGCATTTTGGTTTTGTTCATATGAAAACTTAATGCAGTTGGGGTTAATAAAATAATGCCACATGTCCAGAATATCAGCTTTTCATATAAATTAGGAATGAAAACTACTAAAATGAAGAATTAGGAGAATTTGGCAAGATTTTGAAAGGTGAGTTATGCGTGGGTTTATTTAACACTTCCACTAATGCCCTGGAAAATGGAGTGAAACAGCTTGTTAAAATGATTTCCTGAAGAGCTCCTTTTTTGAAGAGTTAATTTAGTAGCTCAGACCTGAGAATGCTTTAGGACACTGTCACATTCTTTTAATAGGAAAAATGCGGTGCTCAATGGCCGTTTCTTCTGCCGTCTTTAACAGCACTTTAGGAACAAGTACAAGACAGAAGCAAGCATCAGAAGGGACTCGCTGTCCTTGATGGTATCGGGCAGATCGGGAAAGCACATAATTCTGCTAACAAACTCAGCCAGTAGTATAACACTTTAATGTAAGCGACAGTTCTTCTCTTCACAACTGGAGTGCTCATTTTAGATGATGAAGTATGAGATTTAACTACATTTTACCCTCTGTAAGATGTGCAACAGCAGTTATTATTTCTGATTCTTAAAAGTATCTGTATTTTGCACTCTGATGAGTTGTGAAACAGCCTTGCTGAGTTTCCTTCTGAATTTGTATATGGAACTTGCACATATCAATCTCACCAAACATTTTTCACGTAGTAGGCTGAATTATCAATCTATTCAAACATACATCAACAGTAAGGATTAGAAAACCAACAACACTGAAAAGACAAAAACACAGCATGGCTATAAAAACACTTTGCTGCACTTTGCTTATTTACCTTCAGTACAATGAACAAATTCAATGCCTGTTTGAGAAAAAGATACATATAGGATTTCACTGAACTCCCCAAATTTTTCGGAGGTACGTTGTCTTGATCGGACTCGTATCTCATAATCTCTTCCCATCTTCAGAGAGTACAGTGGAACCATTGTGGAGAGCCTGGGTTCTAACTGTAAAGACAGAAGGACTGTGATTTATTTGTTTGAGTTGTACTGGCAATTTTATACTGCTGCTGGATTTCAGCAATAAACATTTGAAGTTGGTTTTGCTACTTGGAACTGTAAGGATACCATGAGAAGAGTTCAGAGAATGTTCACACCATTTACTTTTGACTTACTAGCCATCAGGCTTGGCCGTGATTCAGGGAACCAAAAGCAGAGAATCATAGGATCTTTTAGGTTGAAAAAGGCCTTTAAGATCATCAAGCCCAACCATGAAAAATCCAAGCTCCCTGTAAATGCTGTCAGTGAAGAACGGCAGCTGCCCCCAATTACGTGCCATAAGCAGGTGGGAATGAACATCTCCCACTGATGTTATCAAGTTGTAAATACTTCTCAGTGTTACAACATAGTATTACTGACTTCACAATGCCAGAAACCTTGTTAACACGGGAGTCTTAACACTAGTGCAATCCCCACTACAGAATTAATTTTAAGAAGGAAAATTATTTAAAGCCCTTCTAACCAGATGTATTATACATCTTATAAATGTATTTATTTGGGGAACACTGCATAGCTCCCAAAATTTTCAACTATATATAAAGTGTGATAATGGAGACTCCGTGAGAGCTGGAATCAGACTGTCGGTCTTGAGACTTTTATATTAACTGGAACATACTTGGATACTGCCGCATATCAAACTATGTAGGAAGTCACATTAGAGATCTTAATATGCGAAATAACTCTCCTCTTCTACTGCTCCTCTAAGAATATGTATTTGAGCTCCAACAACCCAACGAAAGTATATAAAAATAAGCAAATTGTGCTCAAAATTGAAATACATGTGGCAGATACTATATTCTACTTTTACTTCAGAATCGAGGCTGATACTGGCGAAACTCAGCTTCAACAACACAACCCTGCAATCACTGTAGCTGCATAATCTAAACTCAAGACACATGCTGTCGGTAGCTACGATCGGTGGACTTCGCTGACCCCTGATGGCTCCAGACTCGAGCGTTCTGAGAACCAGCCAGTCAGATTTCCGAGGAGGCAGTGATCCCAGACAAACTGCTTTTCTCTGCTCGTGGCTTAGCATGAGATCGTGGAGAGCCACTGCCCCACAACACAAAGGTTTTTAACACGCGGAGACTGTTCAGCTGGAAAGCGTTGGGAAGGGAATGCAATGCCACAGAGAAATGGTACACTAAAGTTTTACAGGTAGGGGTTGTTGTTGTTGTTGTGGGGTTGCTTCTTTTTTTCTGAGGTGGTTAGTGGAAATTCTCAGGCATGCTGGACCACACGAAATTTTATGTACCCCAAATAATGGTGGCATTTGGAAAAAGCAGTAGGCAGGCTAAATTAGAGCCCTGCAAAATTCAGCGGACTCATTCAAAGCAGGTGAAGGGGAGCTTGGAACCAGACCGCTGGGCTGCTGGACGCCCTGCGGGCTGTTCGGTCAGTGTACGCAGTGATGCTTGCGACTGCCACGCGAAAGAAACGCGTGTCAAACCTGCCGTCACGCTGACGCGTGACTGCGCTGCCTGCGTCCGTCTGTCCCTGTAAGAGGGGTTACCACAGGCTGCGGAGCGATGCTGTCACCCTTCAGCTGCAGCCCCGGGAACACTCAGTGCTCTCTGGCCTGCGGCAGAGGTTGGCCTGGGCACGGCAGGCAGCGCAGCGACCGCAGCAACAGCTTTCGCCTGCTTCAACGGAAAAACGGTGAAAATGGGGAGATGGGCAGCATGAGGGAAAGGTTCAGAAGCGCCCTGGGGAGGCATAGGGCAGGTCGGGCACTCATACAACACATGGAGACGTTAGCCTGTACATCCAACGCAGTGCAGGGAGATGAGTTCTGCATCCCTCAAACTGGTAAGCCCTGTATCTCAGCCACAGTGCTGTATGGCCATGACCGTGTTCAGCTCTGGAGCCAGTACTCCACGCTTCCCTGCCCCAAGTGCACTTCGCTGCAGTGTGAAATGGACCTTTTCCAGCACAAATCCGACAAGATGATGAGAGCCAGCAGAGTGCTCCCTGGTCCAGCCCTCTTCACCAAGGACTGTGCTCTCATCACCAATTTCATCCCATGCCAGTTGGATCTGGGCACGGGTTGTTTGGATTTTTTAAAATAAGATCAGGCCAATCTAACGTATGATAAATAACTAAAGGAAAATCAGATTTTTAAGATTCCCTACCCCCCCGCCCCCCAATTTTAGGCACTTCATAGACCGACACTTCACTGTGAAGTCATCATTCTTTACTCCTCAGATGGTGTGTGTTTTCACACCTTGTTTGAAAAACACAGCAGCCTCGCAGGGTCTGCGTACCTACTGCTAGTCATGACTAGTAAACCCGGGTAGACGTAAGAGGGGACAGAGATTTAGTCTAGTGAATCAAATGGGCAACATGTCAAGATTAGAGGGTAGAATAGTAAAAAGATAGCCAGCAAGGAGCTAATAACAACGGTGACATTTTTTGACCTGTGAGCCACATTATGTTTGGCTCTGTCTCATGAACACCCGCTATGCGAGGGTGGGGATTTTGTTGTCAGAAAATAATTTTGACCCTCTTATCACTATAGCTTACTGTTATAATACCCGACTAATTAATGTTTTAGTCCTCTTTCAATTCATAAGTAATCTATTTTCAGTTAGTAAAGGGATTGATAAAAAAACAGAATGCTATACATGAAAAATCAGACAGGTTCATCCCAAAACATCTAGAAAACTTACAAGTTCAGTAGAGGGGGAGACAGTACAATTTAAGTGCTATAAATTATTTTTTCTATCGGTTTTATATACAAAGTCCTACAGTATGTTTAAGCAGTCAAAGATTATCCTTTGTGTAAAAAACTAGTAATAATAGCATAACCAGACGTTTGTCTTTTTACTACTCCAACACTTGTTACAGAAGGTATTTGTAGCAAAGAATGCAAAGAGTGAAATTGTTGCTATAATTCTGCTGTTATTCAGGGTTTTGCTATTGTCATAGGCCAGACCTAGATTTTGTTCAGAAATTTCTCTTTTGTCCTCTGATAATGTCTCAGGGAATTATTCCACGTTTGTACTTTTAAGATGAAAGGCACAAGAACATGCAATACATAGAGCTGCTGTACAACATAATCTCTTTTCCTCGAGGCAAGTACAGTATTTAGCAATTCCACATCTGTTTTCTGAAAGAAGAAACACTCATCTGCAAACCTTTGTTCTCCTGGGAAGAACTACTCTCACATCATGCTGGAACTATTGATGGCACTGGAGCAAGGACAAAGCTTTATTAGGGTATTTGTATGATTGATAACTACGGGCTTATACAAAAATTTTTAAAATATGCCTTTTTAAAGAGGTATTTATGTTGTCGCTTTTGTAAATGGCATAAATATTCTGCACATTTTCAAGTTCTGAAAGAGTTTTGATTAACTGCCTAAACTTAACTCACTTCGTAGGCTTTAAAATATAGAGACTGTCAATAAATACAGCTTAAACCAGCGTAGACAGAAATTCAGACAAGTGTTAGGAAAAGGTTATAGGCATTATATACCTGTCTGGCTGAATATTTACTGGCAGGGAGTAGGATAAACAGAAAATGCAAACACTGAGAAGGATCAGAGGTGAGGAGGGGTCCAAGGCCTTTCACACAGGAAGGCAAGCAAACCCGTTTGACTATACTTCAATTGGTAAATTTGCCTTTTGTAGATTAAGACAAATTCGTAACAGTATAACCTGCTTTGCTTCTCTCTGTTAGCTCAGTTCATATTAATAAAAAAGCAAAGGAAGGGATCTGCTCTGAAACGATGTCCTTATTGCACCGAATGGGTATTCCATATGCAAATACATCATGACACACTGGCACTTAAACTATGCATTCAGGTACGCTTCCCCGTAATAGAAAAAATAACTACCTGAGAAGTTAAGTGATTTCCAAAAAGACAATTTAAAAGATTTAATGTATATATATTTTATATTTTCATGGACTATCCATATAGTCACAAATATCCCATTGATGTCTGGTATGAAATCTGTCTGTTTTTCATTTATGACCTTATTTTTATTTGCTTATTGTATCAAATTTTAAATTATGATTAAAAGCTTTCCTTTGTTTTTCTTTTTTCTTAATTTTTTTTTTAATCTACTGAACGATAATTATAAATATTAGAACTTTACAGGTACCCTGAAGAATCTGGACTGACATGATAACATTTCCCAAGCAAAATATTTCTGTTCCAACTACTAAAAATCATGTGCACTGTTCCAAATAGCTGCGGTTTAGGAAAACAACAGAGAAATATTTTATGCTTGAAAAAACTTCCATATATCTGACTGTTGCTATACTTTGTAATCTACCACCGGATTTCAAGGTTTGTTATTGTTATCCTGCGTGCCAACTATCTTGACGCGTACAGTTACGATCTTTGCTAGAAGACTTCAGAAGAACACAGGTATATTGTTTAAGACTTACGGTATGATCTAATTAGCCATTCCAAACGTGTTGCTTTTCACCGTAGTATGAAAGTGTTAGGCACAGAACAAGCCTGCACTGTACTACGACTATTGTATAATAAATATTTGCTTCATACCTCCTTCCATTTTGTCTCATTAACTTCTTTGTACTGCAATTCATACTCCAGAGTAATCCATCCCTTCTGAACATCTGCTGTTGGTGGTGGATCCCATCTTACTTGAATATCCCCATGGATCCCAGTCTGACTAGTATTTAGCAGAGTCCAGTTAAGATGGACAGGGGGATCAGGTAGTACTGTTTAAACAGAGTATTTGGAATAAAGAACCAGTTTTCAATGTGAAATGATCATTCTTACTACACACTGTTAAATAGTTTCAGGATTAAAAAAGCATATTAACCACATATTTACTGATTAAAATCTAAACCTATGAGTCAATGACAGAGTCGCTACCAGTGTGCTAACAAGAAGGCACCCGGCCACTGGTGGTAGACTGCACTCTGCAGAAGTCTCACCTGAGTGACCCAAGAGGAAGACTAAGAATGTATTACCTATTACACTACATTTCTCAATAGCAGCTTATAAAACACTGAGACATAAACAATTCTCCGTCAACATATAAACTCAGAGTTCTGACTAGAAATAAAAACAGTAATTGGAGTGACACAGAAAAATCAACTAATCTAGTAAATAACATACACATACATTGAAAAACTACGGTATCTGAAAAGATAATCTAATTTTGCTCATCTGAAGAAAAGAGAGCAGTGGGTATTCTAGTCACTTGCAGAAATAAGTTAATTGCATATACATACACCATCACTCTAAACAAGTAGTAACATCTGAAAAGTCCCAGACAGTCACAATTCATGCTGCAATAAATATAAATTCTAGCTTAGAAACGCTGAGCATCCTGATTCCGTACGTTAGTGTTGATTCAGGAACAAAAACCTCGTTGGTTCCAGAACTTTGTAGCATAAGATTTTAAGGTCCTCCTTGCCCACACTGAACAAGGGCATGTAGCATCTGTTAGAAAGGGCTCAGAGTGACAGCAAAGGCAGGCTCATCTGCACACATTTGAGAGACCACTGGTATTCAGAAAGAGAAACCACATATCTGCTTTTATCCTTTTAGATTTCTTCAAATCTGGGCAATATTTTCTGGTGTAGATGACATTACATAAGTTACAAAACCAAATCCCTTCCTACATACCATGTTTTTCAGAAACTAACCTTTCTGAGAGGGCAAATTTAAATACAGCATGAGTAATACAAAAGCTTATAGTGTCACACCTACTGTGATATAAAAATATAGAGGTAAAATGCATAATGGGAGCATACCTATTTCATCAACGCTGAAACATTTTTCATCAAATACTTCATCTTTATGGGCAAGCTTAACACAATACGGTATCCAAATAGAGGTGTAGGACGTGTTGAAATAACAGCTATTTTCTCCTGCAGTGATATAATCAGGGCATTCTTTCCAGTCTTCATCATTCCTAGAATGACAACAAAAATGTAATATACATGAGAGAGAGATTTATAGATCTTACAAAGTACAAATTATAGATGTTACAAGACACATTGTTGATAAGTCATAACTTTTATGGAGGTGAGAAAAACATGTCAATATTGATTGCGATTTAGAATGAAACCAAACAACCCGCATAAATGAGTTTAGGTTCTCAGGTACTGTTAGTGGCATTTCTGTGCGTTGGATGCTGCTTCCAAGAGAACGGAGAGCACATCTTGCTATGCTAGTAGGTGCTGAAGACTACCAGCAAGCACAAAGTGAGGTAAATTAGGTATGCATTTAAGGAACTGTTGCTCAGGCAAAGTTAAATTGCAGCTGCAGTAAGGTGCCCACCTACATAATGAGGTCTGAAGCCGTGAAAGCCAGTTCTTAGGGCATCACCCGCAAAGCCAAGGACAGGGGAGTCTGTTGCCCTGGGAGCTGAGCAGGGTTGTAGGCATTGGAGCACTGAGTGCTCACATGGAAAAGTGCCATCCCGGGCGGATGCTGCAGGAGACCTGGCACAAACCAACCCAGGACTGCAGGATGTAGACGAAGGGAAGGGATATACACTGCTGTGAGTGAGGAGGGGCTAAATCCCTTGGGATATGGAACTTCTGAAATGCAGGCTTGGAACTACTAGCAAGAAACATCTTAGGTTTTTCCATCCTGGCTTTGTTCAAAAATTCACAAATGTTCTTTGTAAATAAAAGAATTGGAAAAGGAAATATCACATTCACTTAATCTCTTAAAAAAGACAAACCAGCAGAGTTGTAAACAGTGTCATGAACTCTTAGAACTCTCTGCTACTTGCATAGGGTCATTTTCATATGGCCGAGCTGAAACTACTCAGTGGGTCCAAAACCAAAAAAAGGCTTCAGCTGAAGCAAAATGAGAATGGCAAAACTGTTAGAAATAGTCTACAGGAGAAGTGACAGACATTTATTCAGCAATTCTGAAGCCACTTCAGAAAAACGAATCTCAGAGCAAGCAGATCTGCTGTTGCTTCTCCTTATCTCAAGACTATCTCTCAGCCCACATATAACCAAACAGGGATCTTTTCAAAAATTACAGTCTTGGTTTGTTAAAAATATACTGCAAATACCTTTTCTTACTAAGAGCCATTGAAGCTGTACAGAAGGAGGATTCAGGTATATCAATTATGCCAAGTGCAGCCTTCAGTACTAAAGTGGGTGCTTAAGAAGTGAAAAGGCAGATGCTACATAAACTAAGAAGAATTTCTGCCACTAAGCATCTTAGTCTTGTGCTTAGCTGATGAGATCAGACACTTTTCTACAGGAAACACTACAGTTCTGCCAGAGTCAGGACTTGATAAAGGTGTACGTGGTTAGGCAGTATGGCTTCTGTTAGGCAGGAGACTGGGTTAGATGACAGGGTTCAGCTCTGAGCCTTAAATGTGGCTTGCACATTGAAAAATAAGTATTTTTAACGTGGATGTTCAGTTCCCATCTTTTATTCCAGTATTCTAATTTCTAGGACCAAGTTGAAATATGTGATCTGCTCAATGTACATGGAACTGCTTTATTGTAGAGTTTAATTAATTTTTAAAGTTTGTACCCTCAGGGTACAGGCAACTGACAACGGTCAGCTAAACATTTACACTTAAAATAGTGATTTTAACTTGGATCTGTATTTCTGAGAGGTCTCAGAAGAGTAAGAAAGTCAGCCTGGCCATTAGGCTGAAGTTGGCTAAGCAAATGTATCATCACCGGTACAAAGAGTCTGTGGATCAAAAAGGCTGAAACCCCGTTCATTAGATGGTATTCCTGTGAACAAAAGGACTGTTTGCCCTAATAGACATTACTGGTGACCTCCGTGTCCTCTTTCAGGCTAAGCATTGCAACAACCTGAAAATTCCAAAAGCTTAAGTGGTATGTGAAAAAAAATTGAAGAGGCCTCAATTACACGTAACCCCAGTCTCAGAGCAGTCTTTTCAGACTTTAGCACCTGATCAATGGGAGCTCTACAGAACTTCTACAAAAATTTGAAAGGGTCTTGCATCCAAACTCCACATATGCATAGATACAACAAATCTCAAAGATGTAAATTAGGTTTGATAAGGAATAAACGGAAGTTCCCTATTAAAAAGTCCTTTCTGAGGCCATACAGTGTTCAGTTTTGAATTCTGCAACCTGGACCTAAATTTATTAAGAATGTGTTCCTAACCAACTGCAAAGTAATGCCTGTCACTGCAAATTGCTTAACAATTAACAACAAATTTTGTCATTGAAAACTATGCACCTAAACTATATTTTTTCCCCTTAAAAACAGCACGGCTCAAATCATAGCAAAAAATTAAAAGCAACATGCTAACAGGCATAGCAAAATATATGACTTCTCTCTTTTCCTCTTTCTTTTACGCTTTTCCACATTATTACCTTTTCATGTACAATAGTTGTATTGTTCCTGGAGCTGTGAGGTTATAAAAATTTCCGTCAGTCCAATAACATGAAAATGTCTCCAGTTCAGGTGATCTGCACTTGCTGATTTGTGGCCACCGCAAAAGGTCTGTCAGGAAAAATGGCAGGAGACAGAAGGAGACAAATTAAACAAATCCATAAACCAGACTAACATGCTGTTAAATGAAACTCGGCATTTTTAATGAATAATTAACTTCTCTTCCAGTTCCTTATGTACAATGAGGCCAGATTTCAATTCTGCTTATGTGCACGCTTGTAGGTGCCTCTACCTGTAGGAAGGAAAATTTGAAAGACAGGTCAAGCGGTCTTTTGTGTAGTGTAGTAGTACCACAGTCTGACACAGTGTGGGGATCTGCAAGCCCTACAGCTGTAGCAGAATAGAATAGAATAGAATAG